ATCCAAGTCTCATTATCTCATAGCAAATAGATGGAGAAAAAGTAGAAACAATGACAGATTTTATTTTCCTGGGCTCCAAAATCACTGCGGACGGTGACTGCAGCCATGAAATTAAGACACTTGCTCCTCGGAAGCAAAGCTATGACAACCTAGACCGCGTATTAAAAAGCAGAGACATCACTTTGCCAACAAAGGTCCGTATAGTCAAACTTATGTGTGTGTGTGTGTGTGTATATATATATATATATATATATATATATATATATATATATATAAGGTTTCCAGTAGTCACTTACACATGGGAGCCTCGGACCATAAAGAAGGCTGAGCACCAAAGAACTGATGTTTCAAATTGTGGTGCTGGAAAAGACTCTTGAGAGCCCCTGGACTGCAAGGAAATCAAACCAGTCAATCCTAAAGGAAATCAATCCTGAATATTCACTGGAAGGACTGATGCTGAAACCAAGCTCCAATACATTGGCCATCTGATGGGAAGAGCTGATTTACTGGAAAAGATTCTGATGCTGGAAAAGATTGAGGGCAGGAGGAGAAGCGGGGGACAGAGGATGAAATGGTTGGATGGCATCACCAACTCAATGGACATGAATCTGAGCAAACTCCAGGAGACAGTAAAGGACAGGGAAGCCTGGCTACAGTCCGTGATGGCACAAAGAGGCGGACAGGACTTGGCAACTGAACTTCAATAACATACTATATACAATATAATCTTACTGCTATTAAAAAAAACTATTTACATACTAACATTAACAATACATACACCTATTAGCTCATGTCTTAGAAAAATCTAAAGAGTTAAACACCAAAGTTAATAGTTGTCATCTCTAGGAGGTAAGATTTATAAAGGACTTCCATTTTCTAAGCTACATATTACTACTAAAAACTAGCATTATGATACTTTTGTAATCATAAATATTTTAAATGGATTTTCTATATTTTCAGAAGCTGAGGAAAAGAAAAACAGAGTAACACGTGTATCCCATTTAGCTGGAATTCATGTTTTGCTGCATAAATCTTCCTGTTTGACTATGGAACACTGCCTTCTGAAATCTGAAAAACTGTGAATTCCAAATACACCTATTTTGTAGGTTGGGAGTTGTGGGCCTGAATCTACTATTGGAGTTGTGTCAGATTAGTAAGACCCTTCCTTTAAAAATGAAAACTCTCAAAAAAAAAAAAAGAAAACTCTCAAAACCTCCCTGGTGATCCAGTGGTTAAGAATCTGCCTTCCACCCCAGGTGATGCAGGTTTGATCCCTGGTCAAGGAACTAAGATCTCACATCCCAGGGCTACTAAACCCGTAAGCCACAACTACTAAGCCTGCATGCCACAACTAAGACCCAACACAGCCAAATAAAAATGTAAATAAATAAAAATGAAAACTCTCAAAAAATAGTTTTAATAAATAAATGAAAATGAAAACTTTCCAAGAAGAGTGATAGGCTATCAGTCACTCACAATGTAATATACTCTGTCCCAATGCCATCCTCCTAAAACCTAGCTCACATCAGTTACATGAACAAAGGGGACAAAGATCTAAGTAGGTTCTAGAACATGTGACATCTGGGGGACTAGAGCCTTCCTGGAGTGGACTTGAGGAAAGGAAATGTCCCAGGAGACGTGGAGACCTAAAGAGACGCGTGGAGAATGGGGGATGAGAGCAAGGCAAAGCTCTGCCTAATTCAAATTCAACCCAGGGCCAAAAAAAAGACACCAGAAACTCTTTTCTTCAGCCAACCTGTTTTGCAAGTCCTGTTCCCAGAACCTCAAATTGATGACCCTACTATTAGCAAATTGCTACTTCAAGTAAGATGCTGAATTAAAAGCTTTTTAGGTCAGGCCGGTGACCTAACCACATTGTTTTTATGGGAAAATGTACTCCACATTTCAAATTACCCATTTGCAAATGATCCTTGGGAACAGAGTCCTTTTCTAAATTTAAGAGAACTATTCCTCTCTGTAAGGGAAGAACCCTCCTGATATTATTTCACAGGGTCCTGTTCTCAGAGGAAAAGCTACTTGGAAGTTTTATATCAAATCACTGATGAAATACACATACACTATCACCAGAACATGTAATTCCAAATTAAAAAAAAACAAAACAAGTCTTCAGACTTGAAACTCTGATCAATGAGGTCAGATCCAGTTTCTCTAGCCTCAGGTTATTGCTTCTCTGACAAAGGTGACATAGCATAGCTGGATCCCCAATAACTTCTCAGTATAAGATGGAAATATCCAGGGTTTTAGAGATGTTCCTAAAAACCCTAAAGAGTATATTACCATCTACCATTTGGGAACCTATCTATATGTTCAACTCAAACCACCTTTACTGACTGTCACCATGTCACGATTTGCCTGCATCACCTAGGGAATGCATACTACCAACCCTGCCAAGATGAGATAAGGAAACAGGCTCACAGAGGCTGCAGTTTGCCAAGTAGAGCCAGGTCTATGTAACTGCAAAATCCAAGGTTTTTATCACTACACTGAGTTAAGTAGTTTTTCTACTACTTGTTCCTAAACATCCTGAGTTTCAAACTTCCAAGAAGGACCACCTCCTGGGAACCTGAATCTTCTCAGACATAGAGAATTCCCTGAGCCCACCTCTGTCTCAGGGCATAGGTCCTCCCGCCACCCATCTTCAGGGACACATTCATCTCACTGATAATTCTGGTTGCCTTATATACCCTGATGTCATTACCAGAATTCCTAAGGGCATATGCACAGTTTTGTACCAAGTAAAATAAATTTTGTACCAAGTAAAATAAATTTCAGTTGCCTTGACAGACCATACCCAACTCTTTGTCCAACTCTTTGGTGACCCCCTGGACTGCAGCCTGCCAGGCTCCTCTGTCCATGGGATTTTCCAGGCAAGAGTACTGGTGTGGGCTGCCATTTCCTTCTCCAGAGGAACTTCTTGACCTAGGGATCGAACCCGAGTCTCCCGCACTGCAGAAGCCCTGGCAATGTTCTTTTGTGTGTGTGGGGGGGGGGTGGGCGGGGGTGATGTGAGGGTATACCTCTTTGATCTTCAAAATTTCTCCCTCCTGAGACCTTCCCAGAGGCAAGACAGAGTAGAAGGAATATAGAATGGTTTACACTAGCTGTTTTGAAACAGCTGTTTGGCCAAACTATTTACACCTCTGACAATTGTAAAAGTCATCTATCGTCAGTTCTTCTAAACTCAAGGAAGGGGCAAGGGGAGTGGTCAGCAAACACACTTCCATTCCCCTGGGTAACCGGTCTCTCTAAGAGGATCCTTTCCCTATTACCTCCATGCCAATTATTCGAAATGAACTAAAAAGAAACAACAGCCCCGTAAATAAAAGTTACAGAAAATGATGCCAGAAAAATGACTCGTCTCCTTGCACAACCAGCCTTTTAAAATTAGTGGTTTAGACGGCCGAGGGGCAGTATGTCTCGATAATTTCTCAGCCACTGAAACTCGAGTCCCTTTTTCCCAGGGGAAGAGAGGGGAGGTGATAAGGAGAGGTCAGAGAGCGGAGGGAGGCCGGCAAAGCGGGGCGAGGCAAGCCCCACGGAGCACCAGCCCCCACCCCCAAGGCCGGGTCTAACAAAGACAGCAGTCCCCATCCGTGGGGTGGGGGTGGGGGTGCTTACCCACCAGCTCAAGAGCTGAATTGAGCCCGAACAGCCCGGATGTAGAAAAGGCCTCCCCTTCTGGGCTCTGCCCACCCGACCCCTCGGGCCGCTCAGGCTCCCCGAGTCCCGGTGTCACGCCCCACTCATCACTCCTTTTCAGCCCCGGGATCCTGCCCTCCCTCACGACGCCCCCAGCACTCCTCACCTGGGGGCCCCCTCAACTCTTGGTCCTTCTCGAGGGCCCAAGAGCGTTTTCCCCTCGAGGTCCTCCAGTTCCCGAACCCCGCTTCCCCTCGCCGAGGCGCCCCCCTACACAACACACCCCTTCCCCGCCCCCACGCCTAGCACCGCCCCCGAGCCCCCACTCCACACGGGCCCCACCGTCCTACCTGACGGCGTCTGCCGCTCGCCCTCAGCCATCTTCCTATCGCCGGAAGCCGGCCGGGATGCCTGCAGTACCCTCTCCCTTTTCACCCCTGCACCACCCCGCCTTGCCTCGGCCCCACCACGCGCTCAGGGCTTGCTGAAAAAAAACGAGCCCCGGCAGGCTATAACCGAAAACCGAGAATTAAAGTCACCCCAGCGAAGACGTGCGCCATGTTGGTGCGGGGCACTCAGGGAGCATGCCCAGCAACGGCCGGCTCCGGGCTGCCGCGCTCAGCGGGGGGCGGCAGCCATGTTTGTGCGGGGCGCCGGCGAGCATGCGCACCAACGGCTGACTCGGGGCGGGGCGCTCAGCGGGGCGCCGGCGAGCATGCGCACCAACGGCCGGCTCGCCGCCCGATGCGCCAACCGCCTGCGGGGAGTGTGCTGGGATCGCGGGAGCCATGCTTTTGCGGGGCGGTCCTCACCTGTCATCTTCGAGCCGGGCTCTGACCCGACCCCGAGAACTATTAGAAGACCTGCCTCTGTCAACATGGTTGTGTTTTCCTACCACTCTGAGGGCAACGTTCAAGGCCACCAAAAGGACTGAGAAGGAGTCCACACCACTGCCTCCCACAGTCTGTGGACGCCTTAATGCAGGTGGCAGAGGGCGAACTGGACGGCGGCCTACGGCTTGCTCCTCTTCCCGGGTTCCACCGCCTCGCGGCTTTCCCCAACCGCTCATTACGCCCCGTTCCCACCCTGGCCCCGCCCCGCGCTCGTGGCTTAGCCTCCGGGGCAGCAACCGGCCCGAGGCCCCGCCCCACGAGTCCGCCTTCCCCAGGCCGCCCGCCCGTCCGGCCCGGTGGGTGGGCGCGGGGCCGCCTCTACCGTCTAGCGGCCGTGACTCGGCGACCTTGGCCCGGAGGCCCTAGCAGGGACCCGTCGGCGGCGGCGCGGACTTTGCCCAGTCCGTCGGAAGTAGCGGACTGTGCGTCCGCGAGCGGGCCGCAGAGATGTTGGCATTCGCTACCAGGACCGTGGTGAGTGTGGCCGGGCAGCCGGCCTGGCGGGCCCTGGAGCGGGGCGGGCGGGCGGGCGGCGGACGGGGCCAGCAGGGCAGCTACGCCCGAGTGGGAAAACCGGCCGTCGAGGCGCTGGGGTCTGGCGGCCTCTGTCCAACCCAGCTAGGAGCTGCTGGGGTGGGGTCAGCAGGTGAACTAACCCCGTTTGGCAGAGGGGGAGACTGAGGCTCAAGGTCAAGAGGCTTTTTGTGGCACTAAATTCCAGCGACCCAGAAAAGACAGTGAGGACCCTGGCTTCGGGCAGCACCTCCACCCTTAGACCCAGAGCCAAGGAGCGGAGAGACCAGGAATGTCTCCCCATGGTTATTCTCTGACTCAAACACCTGTCCATGGCTCAGCCTGAGCCATTTCTTCCCCGGCCACTTCTCCAACCCCATCCAGTTGGTCACCCTCCCTGGGTTGATCAAATAGCCCCTGAGGAACTGTGTGTGGCAAGAGGCACTCCAGTGAGGGTATCAAGCTGAAAGTCCCCCGAATTGGCGGAAGACTGCCGGCTGCCGGCGGAAGCCCCACGCCCCCCACTCCACTAGCCCCTCCCCGCAACTTGATTAGCATCTACAATCCCCCACCCCCAGTCTTCCCCAGGGCCGCTTGGAGCCGGTGGCGCTGCTCTCTGATTTAGATCCCTCTCCTCTCTACACCTAGCATATCTTTGTATCTCCCTGTGTTTGTGCCAAGAAGGATATTTAGACACTGCTAGGCCCCGAGGGCTGAGGTACCAATCTACTCTCTCAGAGGCTTTTCCAGATATTCCAGTGCCCCAGAGTTCCACCTCCTCCTTGCTGGCACCACCTGAGCCGTGTGCCCATCCCACAGATGGCCTGTAAGTCATCCCAATGACCTGATCACTGCCAGGAAAACTGAGGCAAACAGGCCTGCCTCCCCTGGTCAGGTGACTCAAATCTAGCCCAATCCCAAAGTCAGCATTCTTTGGTTTATTTTTAATGCCCAAAGGTCTCTACTGGTAACCCCCAGCTGAAAGAACCACACCTCAAAGGAACTAGACTTTAGGGGAAGGGTGGCCCAGAGGGGTCAGAAGTCCTGGAGGGAATGCCCACTGGCTGCCCCTTCCTGGGGTCTGCTTCTCGGCTCCATCCCCAGTTTTCAGGACCACATTCACAGTTACGGTATAACCTTGGTGGTCTAGCAGTTTCTGTCCTCCAGCCAAGTATTCCCTCATCACATGGACCGATGCACATTCCAGCAGGTGGAGTTTTAATACCTCTTGGCCTGACTCCCTGGCACTGGGCCCGTCCAGGGAAGAAAGGGAAAAGTTTTCCAGGTCTCCTCCTCCTCCAGTGCACAGCGTTAGCCCTCTTACCTGCTCCCCATTCCTCCATTTCTGGAAGCTGGAAAGGGTGGAGCAGCCTCTCCCGTGGCAGTCAGAAGCCCAGATACCACCACAGCCGCTGCAGCCACCACCACTACCCCGTCTGCCTCCCCCTGAATCTTGGCTCTTGTCTTCTCTTTCCAGCCCAGGCAAGTGGCTACCTCTTGCTAGGTTCTGCTCACCCACTTGGTAGCACAGTTAGGCTTAGAGATCCAGCCCAAGAGGCAGACAGACAGGGCTCAGAACCTCAGTCCTGCCATGGAGAACGAGCAGCAAAAAGAGAAGGTATGAAACGGAGCCTCTGCCGCTTGCCTGCCCACTGCTGCCAGCAGCCTCAGACCTTCCTGTCTCTCTCTCTCTCTCTGCCACCAGAGCCTCTACACTCTCCCTGTCTTCCAACTCTCACCCTCCTGCCAGGCCACTCAGGTCTCTCTTGGCACAGCACTGTTCCCATGCCACCCCTCTCCCCAACCCACAGACAGGAAAAAGCCCAAAGCTCCTGTCATTGTCTAGCTCTGATTTTCTCTTCTTCCCTCCTATTTCTCAACCTGGTAAGGGTGGGAGAAAAGGAGGTGGGGACCTCCGAGAGGGAGCCATCACGTCACCACTGGTTGGCTCATCATCCCAGGGTGAGAAAGGCAGGGCCCTATGCATCCAACAGGTGAGAGGCCCCTCTGATCTCTGCCGCCCCCAGGCAGGTGCCATCCATTCTGACTTGGTTGCTCTGAGCCCTGCCAAGATCAGTGGTCCCTCCCCACCCTCCCCCATCCCTACCTGCATCTCCAGGCCCCTAAGAGGTGGAGACACCTACAGCTCGAGGGCTGGGAAACCAGGGCAAGCCCCACCCAAGAGGCTGTCTCTGACACCAGGAATGGGCACATAAGTGCCCAGGACTTCAGCTTGGGGAGTGCCAGTCTCCCAGAGCTGGTGAGAGAATGAGCAGGATGTTCTGCTGCCTGCAGGTGAAGCCCCTGGGCCTCCTCAAGCCCTCCTCCTTGATGAAGGTTTCCAGTCGCTTTAAGGCACACCAGGACTCGCTCCCCCGGCTGCCCGTGCCCCCGCTCCAGCAGACCCTGGACCATTATCTCAAGGCACTGCAGCCCATCGTGAGCGAGGAGGAATGGACCCAAACCAAGCAGCTGGTGGAAGAGTTCCAGGTGGCAGGCGGCGTAGGGGAGCGCCTGCAGAAAGGGCTGGAGCGCAGGGCCAGGAAGATGGAGAACTGGGTGAGTGAGAAGGCAGGGGGCACACCAGTCCCTTTGGCGCATGTGGAGGGTAAGGGGAACAGGGCCACTCCCCTGAGGCCTGAGTGGTTGTGAGCATCCCTCCTGTGGCCTGTTGCTGGCTGCACAGCCCCAATTTTCCAACACAGGCTGCACTGGTGCATCCATTTGCACCACAGAGTTTCCTGAGCACTTACTCTGTGCCCAGCACCAAGCAGGGTGCTGGGTGAGCAAGAAGGACATTGTCAGCAGCCTGTTGGAGTTGACATTCAAGTATACAGGGTGAGGACACCCGTGAGCGGACCAGGTCACATCAGGCGATGCAGTCCTCTCAGGTGAAAAGGACGAAGCAGGTGTGAGGGTGGAGGACAGCAGCTTCTTCGTTCCAATGGGGCGGGGAGGGCAGGGCAGAGGTGGTCCTGGGTCTGAGTCAGACAGACGGAACAGCACAGGCAAAGGTGGAAACAGCTCAGGTTCAGGAATGGAGGCTGGAGTGGGGTGCAAGGGCAGGGTGGGGGCCCCAGGGAGCCCCTGGACTTGAGCTCAGTGGGACGGGGCTGCAGGGTGATCATATTGACTGTCCTGGTTCTGTGTCTCAGTCTTTTACAAAGATGTGTTCAGCACTGGTGCCCCGGGCACTTTTCTGTGTTCATCTCACATCTGGCATGAACTTAGGACTGCCACGCTGGTGGGAGGGAAGTGCGGATGGGAACAGGAGCCTGTGGGCAGGCTGGCAGGGAGAGGACAGGAAGTCATTCGATCCAGGATATGTTTTGGTGTCAGTGGCACTTGCTGATGGGGCTGGGGGGTGGACAGCCCAGGCCTAAAGCAACTGTGTGCAGGGAGGGAAGGAGGGTCATTGAGAGAGGGATGAATGAGGTGTGTAGAGAGAACCAGAGATGGGTCTGGCCCTGTAAAGTGAGAGGCGCTGTGAGGGAGCAGGTGGAAGGGCAGGGGCTGCACAGAAGAGGTGGAAGACGTCAGCCGGCCACCAGCACAGACAAACCTTAGCAGGTCGGGATCTTAGCATCTCTGGGATCTGGCAGTTTTCCAACTTTGTTTAGCCAGAACTGCTACTTCAGACTTAATCTTCTGGCTAAAGGGGTGGGATCACCACCCCCTCTCCACTCACGGGCCCTTGAGGATTCTGCCCCTGCTCAGCAGATTTTCACTGAGGGAATGCCCCCATGTGCAGGGGCTCCCCTGGATTCCAGAGCTCTGGTCAGAGGCTCTGAGATCTCCAGGGCTGTGGGGGCCCCTGGCTGAAGGGCAGCCCAACCTAGCTGTCCCCAAGGGGAGGGAGCTCCTGTCTGCCCCTCCCCATCTATGGATGAGGAAACTGAGGCCCAGGGAGATGGATCGAAGAGCCACAGAGCAGCGCTCAAGGAGGCTCCAAGCTAGACAGGAGGGCCTGGCTGAGCGGGGGCCATGTCTCCAGGCCACAGATCAGCAGACAGAAGTTGCCTGCGGGTCTGCTGTGTGACCTGGGCACTTTGCCCTTCTTCACCCCTTGCCAGGGGCCCATGGCCAGCAGTTTCCCAAGGGGAATCCGTGTGGTAAGAGGCACGTCCTACTGCATTTAAGATGGATTAGGAAGCACAGTGGGGGCTGTGTCTCCAGGGATTGAGGGACCTGCCACAAAGAGGCTTATGCTGGGGGGAATGTGTAGTGGGGGCAGTACTGCTGTCAGCATATAAGGTTCAAGGGTGATGGTCACCTGCAGGTCCCAAGACAGGAGCCTTTTGCTGCATATCCATGGAAATACCCCGCCCTGGGCAGAGGATAGCCAGCCTAGTAGAGAGTCACCTACATCTTGTCACTAGTACAGTGATCTGTCTTTACAGAGGCTCTGAAATCTCCGGGGCTATGTTCCAGATTGCCCTGGCCTGGAGATCCAGGTGGCTGTCCATTCCCTAGTCTGACAGCAACAAAGCTGAGGGCACAGAGGACCGGGGTTTCTGAGGGCTCCTGCTTCCCTAGAGTATGCCCACCTGAGACAGGCAGAAACTTACTCATCAGACTTTGTTTTCATATAACTTTCTCTCTTGTCTCCTTTCTATCAGATGTACATTTTTATTTTCTAAAAGTACTAAAATCATTGACCTGAAATATATGAGAGAAGGAAAAAGTGACTGCTATTTCTGCCTCTGTTCTTCCCCCAACCCCAGGTTTCCTGCCAGTCTTTTTTCCTTGACAGTGTTGCCCGATTCCCTTTGCTAATGCTGACAGGCTCCATTAGAGGGATGAGGATGGGTCGCTGCTGGATTTACAGGACTGGGGGGTTCTGGATCTGAGCATTGAGTTTGAAAATCTGTGCTCGCTAGAGAGGGCAGAGGGCACCCAGCCAGCTCTGTTGGCCCTGGTAGTGAAGGGGCAACCAGGTCCCTCATCCATCCCTCCTCATGGGCTCTGGTCCTTCCCCAGCTGTCCGACTGGTGGCTCAAAACAGCCTACCTCCAGTACCGCCAGCCCCTGGTCATCTACTCCAGCCCTGGTGTGATGCTGCCTAAGCAGGACTTTGTGGATCGGCAGGGCCAGCTCCGGTGAGTCACCAAGGTGGGGGCAGAGCTCTGGACCTTCCCAGGGCCCTGATGTCCACTTCCTCCAGGAGAACAGAGGGGCCCCAGCCCTGTTCATTATCTTTCATTCCCACAAATAGCCTTAGGAAATAGCCTTAAGAAGCATCATCTGTGTTTTATAGGTAGGGAAGCTGAGGCTAGGAGCAGTGAAGGGACCTGCCCAAGATCACCTCTCAGGATTGACTGACCTGGACATGAAGCAGAATCTTCCTGACTCTTGTTAACCACCAAACTGCAGACTAGGACCCCTCCCTTCCCCTAAACCTGAGGCTACTCACCCCAGTTCTGGCACTTCACCCCGTCCTTCCCACTTTCTTCAGATGGCCACAAGGGTGACCTTTGTACACAGTCCCGTTTTCCACATTCGGTCATGTCACTTTGCCTTGGCCTCTATTCCAGTTCTACCAGGGATAAAAATACCAGTGACAAAATCTCCTGCCCAAGGACTAGTCAGTCTCTCAGGGCCATACCTGCTTCTCTTAAAGGGACCAGGGCACCCCAGGAAGGACCAGCGGTTCAAGCCCAGAAACTAGCCAGCAGTCCCCATGGGGCCAGGAGCACCCCCATGCATCAGGCATGGTTGATGTGGCCCAGACGGTTCAGGGGGGAAGGAGCAGGTTGACTGAGATGGCCTGGGGGACACACAAGCCCAGAAACAGGAAGGGATCTAAGAGACGGAACACCTTAAGGCACTACCCCGCCCCCCCCCAGTCACCCTTGGCCTTACCCCACAGTCCTAGGTCCCTCCCTAACTGATGCTTCAAAACAGGGCAAAGGCCTTCCAGGCTCCAGGCTGTGAATCAGGGCCTCGGACCCTCTGAGGATGGAGTCAGAGGACATGACTCGTAATCCAGCCATAGTCGTGCTGCTCAGTAGCACCAAAGTCCTGCCAGTTGTTTGGCCAACACATCACCCTAATCCCTTTCCCCAGAGATTATGCAGAATGAGATGGGAATACAGGTTCTACACTTGAACTCCTCAGGCTCTCTAAGCAGTGAGAGGAGTAAAGCAACCTCCTTCTGGCTGTCCACACAGCCTTCTGATCTTTACTTTGTCCCTCCAGGTTCGCTGCCAAATTAATTGAGGGCGTGTTGGATTTCAAGGCCATGATTGACAGGTGAGTGGCCCCATCCCCACCCTTTCACCTCCCAGCTGGACTGCCTAATTACTACAGCCACTCCAGCAGCCCAGTCCCACCTCCTGCCTGACTGCTGAGCGGGCCCAGAGCTCAGTGGCTTTCACTTCCTGCTGACCTAGCCTCTTTGAGGATTGGGGAGGCAGAGCATGGGGGATCGGGACACCTGGGTCCTCAGCTGCAGCTGCCGTGACATCCTCCAGGGGGCCCTCTCCCAAGAGATCCCTGGAATTGACGTCCCAGGTGAAGAGGAGACCCCAGGGGATGACTCGTTGCTTCATCTTCCCTGTGGCAAAGTGAAGCCCAGAGAAGGGAACGGAGTTTCCAGGGTGACTCACAAGCAGGGTGGCTCACAGGCCTCCTGACCCAGTCGGCCTCCGACAACCACCCCTCTTCCCCTCTTCCCACGCTAAGTTGGGGGGTGGGCACCAAGGGGCCCAGCACTGCTTGTGTGAGCCCCACGGAACAATCCAGCCTGCAGCTAGACCCAGCAGCCCCCTATGGATCCCACCTACCTCCCTGTCCCTCTGCCCCTGCAGCGAGACCCTGCCCGTGGAGTACCTGGGGGGCAAGCCACTGTGCATGAACCAATACTATCAGATCCTGTCGTCCTGCCGCGTGCCAGGCCCCAAGCAGGATTTGGTCACCAAGTTCAGCAGGACCAAGAAGCCGCCTATGCACATCACCGTGGTGCACAACTACCAAGTGGGTGGTCCCCCTGCAGCTGTTCAGCCCCCACATCGTTGCAGGAAGGAGAGGGGCAGGGCTCAGAGTCAGCTTCCCCAACACACTTGCCCACGTGCCCTTGAAACAGGCAGGCCCTAGGCCTCTTCTGTCCACTGGGTATCCAGACAGGCCCCAACCCGGGGGAGGCCCAGGAGGGTTAGGGCCTGGTCAGCCCGGGGAGAGCAGTGCAGGGATCTCCTCCTGCTCCTCGCCCTCGGCCTGACGCCATCCCCTCAGCTGGGCTGGGAGGTGACCGCTGCCTGTCTGAGGCCCCCACAAAACCCCTTCTCTCCGCCTGCCTGTGCCCGGACAGTTTTTTGAGTTGGATGTGTACCACAGCGATGGGACACCCCTGACCTCGGATCAGATCTTCACGCAGCTGGAGAAGATCTGGAACTCGTCACTGCAAACCAACAAGGAGCCCGTGGGCATCCTCACCTCCAACCACCGTAACTCCTGGGCCAAGGCCTACAGCACCCTCATCAAAGGTACCCACACCAGGCCCAAGCAGCTCATCACGCTGAATCCCCTCGGCTCAGAGCGGGCGCTGTTGTCCTCATTGCACATGAGGGGAAACCTCAGTTGGGTTTAGTTTCTTCTTTTTGTTCAGTAGCAAGTTGCAGTGAGAACACATCCTTCTTCTGAGGAGCCCCCCCTTCACATTCCCTTCAAATCCCATGCTGGGCAAGGGCATCATCCCCAGAATCCACTCCCATGTTGGATCCCCAGCTGCCTTACTGGCTTTCTCTGCCTTACCTGGGCTTCCGTTTCCTGCTTTCTGAAGCGGGGCAGCCGTGCCTCATGGGGTGCTCTGGGGCTACAGGGCCCTGTTAAAGGAAGCTCTGGAAGCCTCCCCAGGCCTAACCCCCACCCCCCCACACACGTCCCCACAGACAAGGTGAACCGGGAATCAGTGCTCTCCATCCAGAGGAGCATTTTCACTGTGTGCCTGGACGCACCCATGCCTCGGGTCTCGGAAGACACCTACCGCAGCCAGGTGGCGGGCCAGATGCTGCACGGGGGCGGCAGCAAGCTCAACAGCGGCAACCGCTGGTTCGACAAGACACTGCAGGTGAGGAGCTGGCAGGGCCAGGACTCCCACCCCTGACCCGCACCCAGGCTCAGCCCACTGCCACCTCAGGATTTCCTGTCCCTCCCCTGGACTCCGGTGTCCCTGGCTTCCCAGCTTGTAAAGCAGGGGGGAATCAGCAGGTGGACGCGGCTGTAATTAGCAGCAGTCAACCTGTCTTTCCCAAGCCTGGCCCAGTAACCCCTGTCACCTCCAACACATCCGTCCATGATCAGGAGAGCCTGGAATGTGGGGCCAGGTTGAGCGGCACAGTCTTGGTCATGACTTTCCCTCTTACCTGTGAAATGGGGTGGTGGTAGGACTCCTGGGAACTGTAGGTGCAAGGACCCAGAAAAGTCTCTGAGCACAGGATGTGCTTAGCGTGACCTGGGACAGAGGTCCCGAAGTCCCCGGTAAGTGTTAGCTGTTATGAATAAGAGTAATAAATCAGCTGAAGTGCTTGAGATGGTTCAGAGCCCCCCCAGGGGACCCTGCCAGAGAATGGCTGCCGGGGCCTGGTGCCGTCAGGGACCCCATCTCCCCCGCAGTTCATCGTGGCTGAAGACGGCGCCTGTGGGCTCATCTACGAGCATGCGGCAGCCGAGGGGCCCCCCATCGTCTCCCTTTTGGACCATGTCATGGAGTTCACGTGAGTGTGGGTCTCCCACCCTCCAGCCAGTTCTCCAGCTCCTGATGACAGGTGACACAGGTGACAGACGAGCTCTCAGAGGAGGAATGGCCATCTCCCTTGTACTGGGAATCTATGCTTCTACAGAGGAAGCCAGAAGGGGGTGTGGGTTTCAGAGTCCATCAGAGCTGGGTTTGCATTCTGGCTCTGCCACTTCTCAGCTCGGTGACCTTGGACAAGTCCCTTCCCCTCCTCCAAGAGTCTCCCTGGACCGGCCCCCTCTTCCCGATCGTAATCCCGGGGATGGACCCAGGCTCCGGAGGCTCCTGGCAGGAGCCTGAGACCCTCACATCCTGTGCAGGAAGAGGCCGGAATTCGTGCGGTCTCCCATGGTTCCCCTGCCCATGCCCAAGAAGCTGCGGTTCAGCATCACGCCTGAGATCAAGAACGACATTGAGAAGGCCAAGCAGAATCTCAGCATGTGAGTGCTGGGAGGGGCTCCTCCAGCCGGAACAAGAGCCAGCTCTGCCACAGTGCCCACTGGTTCGGAGACTGCCCTCGGTGCCTCTGTGGGCTTGGCAGAGGCTGCTGGGTACTGCTCCTCACCTCCCACCCCCCACCCCAACCCCAGCATGATCCAGGACCTGGACATCACAGTGATGGTGTTCCACCACTTTGGAAAGGACTTCCCCAAGTCAGAGAAGCTGAGCCCAGATGGCTTCATCCAGATGGCACTGCAGCTGGCCTACTACAGGTATACCCCACCCCCCGGGGAGGATGAAGCCTGGGGGCAGGTGGAAGGACCTGCCAGGGGCGAGCTCAGCACCTTTCCCACCCAGGATCTACGGGCAGGCCTGCGCCACGTACGAGAGCGCCTCTCTGCGCATGTTCCACCTGGGCCGGACCGACACCATCCGCTCAGCCTCTGTGGCCTCGCTGACCTTCGTCAAGGCCATGGATGATCCCAATGTGACGGTGAGAGGTCAGGGGCAAGGGTGGGAGAGCTGGGTTCAAGCCTTTCTGCCTTCCTTCTCCTTTTGTCAATGCACGTTGAGCACTTACTCTATCCCAGTCCTGTGGTGGACACTGGGCATCTCATGGAAGATGGAGCCATGAATTTATTGGTGCGGCCGCTTTCTGCTGGCCAAAGAGAAAAGGGAACTCCAGTGGATCCTTGAGCAACTCGGGGGTTTGGGGCACCACACAGTCGAAATTCCCCGTATCCCTTTATAGTCGCTCTCTGTGTCTGTGGTTGTGCGTTTGCAGGTCCAGCCTTCCATGGGGTGTGTCATACTGTTGTGTTTTTTGATGAAAGTCCACATATAAGTAGGCTTGCACAGTTCAAACCGAGTTGTTCGAGGGTCAGCCATCAGCAGTGAGCACTTGCCCTGGGTCAGGCCTTGGCTGGGGACTGGCCAGTCTGTGCTTTCAGGAGAAAACCTGGAGTGGGCGGTGGGCCCCTGAGGAGGGAGCAGGGACAGGAAGCATCAGCGCCCTCTCCCCCCACCCCCCACCTAGGAGCATGAGAAGGTGCAGCTGCTGCGGAAGGCTGTGCAGGCCCATCGAGCCTACACCGACCGGGTGAGCCAGCCCCCGCTCCCTGCTCCCTTGGCCCTGGGCATGACCCACCAACTTGTCCATCCCTGCAGCAAATGGCTGCTCCCCTTAGCGTCAGGCACCCCTGCCCTAAGCACTGGGGCACTTGGAGCAAAGCTGAACATCCCCATTCTACAGTGGGAAAAACCAAGGTGAGGCCTAGCAGCTGCCCTGGGCCCAGGTTGGCCTCTGGATCTTGTGTCAGGCACTCTCCCCACTGCCCCAGAGCCCAGGATACCTAGGGTGTGCATGGTCTGGCAGACCGCAGGGTGCCCGCCCTCTGACAGCTGGGGCTGCAGTCCAGGGGTGGAGGTCCGGTTCCCAGCCTGACCCTGAGCGCCTGCACACGCCAGGCTTTGCCCATGTTACACTCAGGCAACTACTTCAATCAGTGCCACCCCACAGAGGGAGTTCAGTGACTGTCCCTGTCTCACAGCTGAAGACACTGAGGCTCCAAGACGGCAGTGACCTGCCGAGGTCCCACAGCCAGGATGGGGCCGGGCCACCCAGCTGCAGGCCTGTGCTCTTGGGCTGTACTTTCTGGCCTCCCTGGAAGCAGGGGAGTTCCTAGGCCTCAGTTTCCCCATCTGTGAAGTGAGGGCTTTCCTGCCCGGCTGCTCTGGCCTCATGGGTCTGCGGGCCAGTGAGTGGAAGAGCCGTTACCGCCAGAGGCTCCTGGGGAGGGCGGCAGCTGGTGGGCCTGCAGCCCCTGCTCCTGACAGCTCCCCTCTCGCAGGCCATCCGTGGGGAGGCCTTCGACCGGCACCTGCTGGGCCTGAAGATGCAGGCCATCGAAGACCTAGTGAGCATGCCCGACATCTTCATGGACACCTCCTACGCCATCGCCATGCACTTCAACCTCTCCACCAGCCAGGTGAGCCGCTGCCTTAACTGCCCTGGGGTGGGATGGAACGGGAGTCGCAGAGGATGCACCGGGGTCCGAAACACAGTCACTTGGAGGTGATGTGACTCACACAGGCCCCTCCTGAAGCAGCTGAGTTCTGGGGTTGGGGGCTTCACTTCACCTCAGGCAGGCTGAGGAGTCGGGACCCCTCTTCTTCCTTGGCTTCATTCACACACTGATCAGATGCTAAGGAGCATTTGATCCAGGCCAGCCTGTGCTGGGCACTGTGAGCCCCCCAGGGGCTCACAGTCTTGGCAGGACAGTGACAGCCGCCCAGGAATGTCAGGGAAATCTGGTGACACCAGAACTGCACCCCTAAGGACTCTAGGGGACTCAGCTGTCCACTGAAGACAAGCAGAGGGCGTCTCAGGCAGAGCATGGTGGGAGCCCACGTGAAAGGCAGGCTGGTGCCACCGCGGGGCTGGGATGAGAGCTCTCTGTGGTCCTGTGCCATCCTCAGGTCCCCGCCAAGACAGACTGTGTCATGTTCTTTGGGCCTGTGGTGCCAGATGGCTATGGCGTCTGCTATAACCCCATGGAGACGCACATCAACTTCTCCGTGTCAGCCTACAACAGCTGTGCCGACACCAACGCCGTCCACCTGGCACACTATCTGGAGAAGGCACTCCTGGACATGCGGGCTCTGCTCCAGAGCCACCCCCGGGCCAAGCTCTGAGCCCGCTGCTTGGCCTGCCGGTGCCACAGCCACACCACCTTGGGCTACACCACCCACTCGGCTCCTCTTCTTTGCTCCCTCTTCCCCTGGGCCCCACAGATCTCAGTCAGGGACAGCCACCCTCAGCAGGGTCTGCAGACCCAAGCCGAGTGCCTTTCGTGGGTCTTCACCAGCACCCAGGCTGAGTCCAGAAACTGAACAGGAGGTCAGCCCAGGCACCCACCGTGGCCTCCTCCTGGGAAAGGAACTAGCCGAGCTCAGCCCTCATGAGGGTGGAGACTGGACAGGCCCTTCCTCACTAGCTCAGCTCTGCCCAGTTTCTGTTGCCTGCGCGGCCAGGCTGAGGTCTGTAGCCTGATTCCTCAACTTGCAAGGACCTAGAGACGGAATTACATGGAGCTGGGGTCTCCAGGCCTCCCCACAGCTAAGGGGTCAGGAAGTGAGGTGTGCTGGTGGCGGGGAAGCCCATTCTGCATCGCTGCACCATCCCCCTGCTCTTCTGAGGATGTGGCTCAGTCGGCCTCAGCTTGCTTGCTTTCACACGGCTTGATTCCTGAACCATGTCCTGGTTGTATAACAACTTACAAGGCAGTTAATAAAGGGGAAATGTGTTAGTAAAGAGTTGTTTCAGCCGAGGAGGCACGCAGGGTGGGGCAAGCACCTGGCTCTGCCCTCCCCTGGCTTTCCTTGCATCTGGAAGCTGATGTCCAGGCAGCCAGTGGGCCCAGGGCTGGCTCAGATCTCAGGGCTCTGGGCTCTGGGCCAGCACAGTAGCAGACCCAGGCCCACATCCTTCAGATACAGCCCTCCTACCTGTGACTTGGCCTTCAGGTAGGGACAGCTCTCTGTGGGGCCTGGGGTCTGTGGGGTCTGTGGTCTGGGCCCAAGGTTTCATCTGCTGCCCAGCACTGAGCCCAGCAGGAGTGGTGGCTGAGCAGCTGTCTGACCCCAGCCCTTGCTACTGCCTGGGGCCACCCAGTCAGAACCTTATATGTGTCCCCAACCCCAGTCACCCAGCACGGGCCCCGTGTCCTGCTGCAGTCAACCGGGCAGCGTATGGAGAGCAGAGGGACTCTGGCCCTAAGGAAGACCCTGGCCCAAAGGAAGATGCTGAGGGTGGGAGGGACTACCCAGCCTGGGGGTGAGGTGCTTCTTGTCCTGGCTAACCTGTGACGTTCACTGAGGGAGGTCGTCTCCATGTTTCAGAGGGTGGAGCAGACTCAGGGAGCCCATGCCACATGCCCAAAGCCCCAGGGAGCAAGGAGTGGAGCCCCGACCCCGTGGGGAGTGGGTGTCGCCCAAGGCCTGGCCACTCCCAGCTTGGCCTGCAGGGTAGGATCTCAGCCGGGAAGAGATGCGTGGGTCCCCTTTAGGGACCTCGAGCAGGACCTGAAGAGAATCCCATCACAACAGCACAGAGGTCTTGCTCTGCAGCTGGGGAGTGGCTGGCCCCCGCCGTCCCCAGGCTGGATCTCAGGAAGCAGGGCCCACAGCAGGAGCTGAGTGCTTGCTGTGTGGCCCCATCCCAACTGGGGGCAGTCAGGGAGGGGAGGCAGTGATGATGCAGGCTGAGGACACAGCAGGGACACACATCCACGACTCCAGAAACTCAGGTTCTAAGAACTGCTTGGGTCTGATTACAAGGCAGGATTTTCCCCCAAAATGTTATCCTTCAGAAGTGAGGTCATCCCTTTGCATTTGGGTTGTTACAGGTCTCATAACGTGGAGGCTCACTCAGTTCTGTAGAGCAGCAAAGTACTGCTTGAGGAAGACACATTTACCTAAAACAGCCCTAATTGGTACCCTGGTGGAACTTGCGGAGGAGGGGGGGTCAAAGAACCAAGAAGATGTAATCATTATCCCTGGGGGTGTGGCCTATGACACAGGTCTCTGGACACATGAGGGGAGGTAAGTGTTGGGGAGATCACATACTCCTACAGGATCAACTTTTAAAATCCATGTGAATGCTCTGCCAGTGTTTGGAATAAAATTTCCAAGTACAGCACCATGCATGAAATACAGAAGGTCCTGCCATATCCCAAATTGCTTGTCTAGTGGACCCAGGAGAATTAGGTCAGCAGACAGGCTGCCCAGAAATAGCCAGACCCTGCCCTGATACCAGTGATGCAGATGAAGAACCTTTTTTTTTCTTTGCAAAATGAATGAAAAAGAACTGTCATAAGTTTATATATTTTGTGTAATACATCATTTGAAATTTGAGAATGTAATATATATATATAATTAATAAAATCATAAAGAATACTTGGCTTTTGCCTAGATCCTCTGGAAGTTTGTCTCACTGGCTTGGCATGAACTTGATTTGGGCTCTCTCCATTGGGGAAGTGCAGGGGCTGGAATCAAGGGCAGGCCTGGAGTGGGGATGAGAGCCTGCCAGGAGGCTCTCCTGTGTCCTAGCAGGGGCCATGGGCCGGGACCCACACTGGCGTAGGAGGTGGAGAAAGTGGCTATTTCAAAGATGCTCACAGGACTTCCCAGGTGGTCCAATGGCGAAGTCTCCCTGCTCCCAATGCAGGGGGCCCAGGTTCAATACCTGGTTGAGGAACTGGATCCCACATGTTAACAACTAAGATTCCACACGCCACCGTGAAGATCCCCAGTGTGTCAGCTAATAGCCGATGCAGCCGAATATTTAAAAAGAAAAAAAAAACCCATAAACCTAACAGACTTAATAAAAAGGATCCAAATTTTGTCTTTAAATGCTTATGAAGTGGAATGAGCAAGATTTGGTGACCAGCTGAATGGAAAAAGGAGGAGTTAGGTGAAGTAGGCAGTGGGGTGCTGGTCTGAGAGCCCAAGCAGTACAGTATGTGGACAAGTGCCAACTGGGGTAAAAGCGATGTTTACCTGGGACTTGGGGGAAACCCAAGGGCTCATCAGACGGCCCTGCTGCTGCCTCTCTCCATGCATTCTGGATTTCCTCTGACTTCTCCAGTTTTCCCCTTCAACTGTCTAGTAGGCTGTTACTGACCTACCTATGGAGTTGGGCTTTTTTTTTTTTTTTTTTGCTATTGTATTTTTCAGTATTCATTTAAAAATCTGCCAGAGTTCACATCTGTAGTTTCCTACTCTCTGCGGGTATTTTCAAGTTTGTCCTTTATTTCTTTAAAAAAGTGAAACAGCTTACAGTCTGTGTCTGATCACCCCAGCCCCTGACATATATGCGGGTTTCTTCCTAATACTTATTTCCTGCTGGTTCTCAAGGATGGTGGTGATTCCTTTTCTACCTGGTCATCTTTGTATTTTGTTCATGGTAATTTCTTAAAACTATATATGACTGAACTCTAGTACGAAGGTTCCTTCCTCCAGGGATCTGTTTGCTTCTGCCACCCACACGGGGTGAGGTCACCTGAACTAAATGTCAAGGTTCTGTGGACCATGGTGGAGCACCCAAACCCAGCCTTCGAGCTCAGGAGGATGGGATTACTTCTGCTTCACCTTCACCCTAAGGGTGAAGCTCTTCTGAATCAGCTTTAATGAATTAAGGGTTAGAACCCCCACTCTGGACCCTTGAAATGACTTGTGTTCATTTCACTCCTACAAGGCCTACAAAACCCAGGTCAGTTTGCAGTTCTTTCTTTCAAAGCCCAATACCTGTCTGCACACTCAAGAAGTAGTGAATTCAACAAGGGGTGGAGCTGTTTATCCTGACAGAAGCTGAGGAAGGACAGATCTGCTGGCTGTCCCGTCCTCAAGGGCTGTCAGTCACACAGAGGAAAGCCCGGCTTAGTGAGGGCAGAGCCAGCCAGGACAGCACAGGGCGGTAGACGGGGTCCGGTGGGGCTGACCTCAGATCCTGGTGGGAAGGGTCACAGAGGCCATTCCGATCCTGGCTCTGGGGGCCGGAGGGGACAAGATGTCTCAGAGATCCTTAGGATTATTTTGGTCTTCGCCACACCCCCTTGCCCCTCAGGGTCATGTGTCCCCACAGCTGTGCCCCAGGCCCCTCCCATCAGCTCAGTCAACGTGCTCAAGCTGCGAGAGTTCAAGATTTTATTTTAAAACAATAGTAAACAATTTTCATTGATTTTTCTTAAGTCAAACCACCTCACACTTGGCTTGTCTCAGGCAAAAAAAAGTAAAAAATAAGAAGGGAAGGAAAGGAAAATGTGGGGACCGACCAACCTTCCCCAAAATTAGGCCCCTGGTCCTGGCGTCTGGAATGGCTTTGGACACTGTCTTGAATAAATGAGAAAAGAAAGCACCAAAATATTGTGCTTCAGCAGCAGGTTAATAACCTCCATAAAGAAAAGGTGGGGGGCGGTGGGGGGGGATCGGAACGCAGGTCCCGAGCAGTCTGGTTCCGCTCTAGAAGCTTCTAAGTCTAGAAGCATCTCCTCTCCACAACTCCATTTCAAAGAGGCTTCAAGACTGGGAGGAGCTGGCCTCCGAGCTGGGCCCTGGGGATCTGCGAGCCACACCCCGGACACAGGCCAAGGTGACCCCAAGCAGATTCCCAGCCTCTCGGAGGGGGTGGGAAGGATGAGGAATGCTCAGAACACACAGAGGGCAGGGGTGGGGGGCTGGGGGGCGAGACAGTAGACACCACCGCCTCACTCCCCCCGCCAGTTCCCACTCCCTCTGCAGTTTGTCTGGGTGGAGATGAACACGAACCACTACCGAACGGCGGGACAGGAAAGAGCTGTAAACAGCTTGGGTTTGCTCACCCACATGTGCAGGCTCTTTTTGTCAGAGAGGGACCACTGTCTTGGGGACAGGGGACCAGAGAAAGCCCTTGTGGTGCAGGGTCGATGCGGGCAGGACACAAGGACAGCAGTGCCAGACACGCGCTCTCTCTGGGCCCATCCCCACGCAGGAAACACTGACCGAGGTTCTGGAATGGCATTGGCGCCAGGAAGGACGTGGGGATGCTCCCTCCCCCGGGGCCCCCAGGCAGGCCACCTCTCGGGCCCAAGGCAAAGGGCCTGGGGAGCTGACCTGGGCCCCTCAGTACGCAGGGAGGCCCCCGCACAGCAGGCTCTTCTAGCCTCCTCTCCAAAATCCCATCTGCCTTTGACAAAACCCAAAAATAAATAGTGTGCACTTTTCACGCCACCTGGATTTCCTGGCCCTGTGACCAGAGGTGCGAGCCCTCCTCCTCTACCCCACACCCCGGTGCCCATGCCAAGGGCACACTCTGCCCGACTGGGGGCTGGCAGCAGCACTGTGAGGGTCTCTGGCCATAAGGCCACCCCCCCCAGCAGCAGGCCCTCCAGGGTCCTGGCTGAGGGGCTGGCTCAGCCCTTTGGTCCACTCTGTTCATCAAAATTAAAATAAGCAAAAAAAAGGCTCCACTCGGTGACTTGGGTCTGTAGAGGTCTCTGCTTCGTCCCTCTGACTGTCATCCCATCCATCCTGCAAGGAATCGTGCAGGCCAGATCTGGAGGCTGGAGCCAGCCACGCTCACCCGTCACTGCAGCTTCGTCCCCAGCTTGCGTTGTCTGTTCCTACAAAATGGGGGTGGGGGGGGTCAGATGAGGGGGCTCCTGGCATTCAGTGAGCCGCCCCCTCAGCTGTCGCCTTCCTACCTCCAAATTCCATCAAAATGAGTGAAGGCCCGCTCCCAGGGACCCCCGGGGTCGGCTTGAGCCGGGCCAATCAGAGCTCGTGCTCGGGGACCTGGGACTTGGGGCAAAGGGAGGGTCAGTGTCTCTGCTGGGCCTGCACCCCTGGTGCTCAGCTCTGGAGTCCAAGTGCAGAGCCAGGAGCCAGGCGCACGGCTGGGGCCAGGATGACAGAATACAGGCACGAGGGACCTGGCTGGATTCCAGAAAATCTGGGAAGCTCCCACTTACAAGTGGGATTCTGTTATTATCAAGCAAAACAGACGAGAAGATTGTTGAGTTCTCCTTCTGGGATGTATGGAAGCAGAGAGGGGAACTGCTGACCCAGTGGATCCCAGTACCTGATTTGGGGGCATGGCTGTGCCTACAATGGGCTCAGGAACCTGAGGGAATCAGGGATAGTCCTGTTCCCTGGAGGGCCTGGCTGAGGCTCAGATAGGAGGATGGGGATCGTCAAGAGTCCCACCTGAAATGCAGAAACCCAACTATACCCACGGGTCATGTATGATGCAGTCCCAGCCTCACCCCCTGGCCAGCCCCCTTCTTCCCCTGGGCTCTGGCCACATCTGCCTCTATCTGCTGACTCAGAAGCTTTATACAAGCTGTTTCCTATGCTGAGAGCATTCTCCCTGTCAAATCCTAACTCCAATGGGCCCGCTTTCTCCTGCCACGCCTAGCCAGCATGGCCAACCACCCCACCCCCACATCAGGTTCCCGCCACGGGCTCTCAAGATCAAGGCCCTGGTCACACAGGTAGGTGCCTGATTCCTCGTGACCATCCCCTGCCGGCCACCGCCCTCCTGCTCTCTGCCTGCCCCCAGCACACAGCCTGGCACGGAGCAGGGGCACGTGGAAGTTTCGGTGAATGAAGGGAGCAGTGGGGTGGCTCCAGGAGCCAGGTGGAGAGCCTGGGCCAGCTGCGGCCTCCGCCAGTAATGGGATTGACTGTTCTAACGCCCTCAAATCCCCTTTCCTTGTGGAGACAGGGCTTTACCTCTAAGTTCATTAGGATAATATAGACCATGATGTCCTGGACACATGTCCCGACTGCGGGGACCCCACCCCGTAGCTCCTCTCACCAGGAACCCAGGGCTCCTCAGGAAACCTCCCAGGCTTGCATGGGAGCCCAGTCTTGCCTCAGCTGCCCTCTGAACCTGGGAAGGAGCCAGGCCTTCCCCACCCCAGTGGGCACCCCACCCAGGATTTGAGGTGCATGGAGAGGAGAGCTGAGTCAGAAAGCGCCAACGTCAGCTCCATCCTGACTTGCTGTGCAACCTCAGATACCCTTAACTCACCGTGCCTCAGTTTACCCTTCCATAGGAGAGGGTCTGGACAGAATAGCCCCGGGGGGTATTGACACAGGTCCCCCTGAGAGTCCTGGCCGCCCAGCTCTCTGGTTCTGGGCCACAGAGGTTAAAAGCATGGCTCTGAGCCCAACAGCCTGGGTTCCCAGTCTGGCTCCCACACCTGAGGTCTGCATATACTCAGTCAAGCGACTCCTCTCTCAGCCTCAGTTTTCTCATCTGTAAAATGGGGTCCAGGGGAGGACTCAATGAAGCGGTATAAGAAAAGTGCTTAGACAAAGGCCTGGTTCTTGGGGTGCCTTCCAGAAATGGGAGCGGTGCTGCCTGAGGGCTGCACCCCACTGAGCCAGGACCTGGTGACTGCAGTCCCCTTGACTTACCTGGCTTCTGCCCGGGTTACTGTGTATTCAAACCAGAGGACGTTGGGAATAAGGCTCGTGTCTCGGATTAGGAAGAACTCAGAGATAGGCCTGGAGAGACAGACACCCCGCAAGCCAGGAACACATCAAGGTCTGTCACCAAGCCGGACGTTCCCCCCTCCACTGGGCTGGCAACACACCCTCCCCCTGCCAATCACAGTCTTTGCCCTAAGACGGGCCACTAAGAGACCCAGATGGGCCACAGGTGTGACACTCAGGCTGGGACACGGCCCCAAGATACATACAGCCCAGAAGGACACACACTGCTTTCCAAGTCCCCGAGAGGCCAGGTGAGGACAGAGGCTTCTGGACTGAGAAAACCCCTGGGGGAGATAGAAGCCAGGCAAGCGGGCCCTGCTCCCTACGCCCCTGGGCACTGGGGCCCTCCCCGGGAGACTGAGGCTGGGGTCGGCATGTCTGGGCTCCCCCCACTGATGGCCCCTTGGCAGGAGGGGGCCCGGGACATAGTGTCTGGGAAGGTGCGGGGAGAGGGAACAGCAACACGGGCTGGAGGCAGTTACCAGGCTGCTATCCTAGGGAATAGCGGGGTGAGGACCTCCTGGGTGAAGACGAACCAGGCGATGGCCATCAGGCCTCCAGCGATGCCCCCATAGAGCACTTGGCTCCAGGTGTGGTACAGCAGATAGACCCTGGGCCGAGGACAGAGGCGAGTTCACAAGAGCCAGCCGGAGACAAGCCCGCACAGCCCACGCCCCCATGTCCAAGTACCAGCTTCCCCGGGAAGCCCTGCACACACATGGGAGACACCCACAGAGAGGACAGAGTCCTGGGGCCACACGGACTCGGAGCTGCTTCCAGAATCAGGCAAGGCGCCGCACCCCAACAGGGGCGCCCCCGACTCTATAGAGGTGAAGGGATGGCTTGGCTGGGACTTGTCCCCAGCCCTCGAACTTGGGAGTACGTCTGTGAAGGGCTCCTTCAGGACATGGCAACAGACGGCTGACGCTGGAATCATGGCCCCCACCAAGAGCAGAGAGCAAGGACTGGGCGGCACGGGGCAGCTGGAGCCTTGGCCTTTTAACCTGAGGCTGGGGGTCCCCTTCCCGGCCCTGCTCATAGGCTCCAGGGCTCGGGTCCACCGTGAGGGCCCAGAATCCAGCCAGACCTCAGTGGGCAGGGCGGGGGGGGGGACGGGGGGCTGCCCCCTCCCGCTGTACCTGCTATAGGAGACTAGAAAGGCCACAGTGAGGAGACCCAGCGACAGCACATGCCTCCACAGCAAGTCCAGGAACCTGGCGTTGTTCGTTTGGTGCATTCTGGGAAAACAACCCTGTCAGGCAGCCTCAGCCCACAGCCTGGGGCCCTGGCCCCCCACACACTCAGCCCCCGGTCCCCATCTGCAGGCTCCCTGGGTACCTCCTGCCTTCGCTGGAGCTCCTCCCACCCCCGGGAGAGGCCGGGCCCCAGCCAGCGGGCATCCCAAGCGCTCGCGGCACTTTGGGTCCCTGGCCGAGCCCGGCCGGGGCAGAGGCTCACCTTAAATACAGAAAAAGGAAGGAGTAGATGGAGAAGAACCACATAAACTGGGAGTGGCTGGAGGGCATCCCGTACTTGGTGCTCACTGCCGGGTGGGGGCCTGCGGGAGAGAACAGGGCGTGGTGGGGGACGCGAGCCTCCCAGGGACGCCCTCACTTGGCGGGCTCCCGAGGCCCGGGCCCTACCTCCACAGGGTCGTGGCTCCTGGATGACGTGTTTGATCAGCCAGTTGACCCCCTCATTCAGCGCCAGGCCCCCCAGGAACGAGATCTGCCGGGAAGATGTGTGGTCACCAGGGCCTCTGGGTAACCTGCTGCCTCCAACTGAACCTCCCAGCCCCGGTGACAACCTGGAACCAGCCAGGAGCCTCCACACACTTCAAGAGAGGTGGCGGCATGGAAGAGAAAGCAAAGCACCTGGGATGGGATGGGGAGGCCCCTCCTCCCTGGGGTGGGGCCGTGGGGAGCAGGACTCACTCACCGTGTGCAGCTCCCGTTTGAATATAATGAGGGTCACGAAACCAACAATGACAAATACAGGGCTGAGGCTCAGGTAGGCGAGAACGTGGCCAGAGAGGTCACCTGGGAAGACAGGGAGGACAAGATGAGGGCAGGGCACGGCCATCAAAGACGGCCTGGCCCCCAGCAAGTCAAGCCGGGCCTGGGTCAGAGAGGCGGAGCCAACAGGGCCCCAGAGGGCAGGGCCAGGTGACTGGGGACGCCTCTGGGTACTGGCTGACCACACCACCTCGGTCACAGACATAGTGTGCCAGGGCATTTACTGAGCCCCCAAATCCACAGATCGTGAGTGTAAAGCAGGTACGTCACTGGGCCCATTCTACAGATGCAGGCACTGAGCCCCAAAGGGGCTGCATGATTGGTCCAAAGTCACATAGCAGGAAGGAGGTGGGATCTAACTAAGATCCAGGGGATGAGATGGCTGGATGGCATCACCGACTTAATGGACAGATGAGCTTGAGTAAACTCTGGGAGTTGGTGATGGACAGGGAGGCCTGGCGTGCTGCCATCCATGGGATTGCAAAGAGTCAGACATGACTGAGCTACTGAACTGAACTAAACTTACCCATTATCTCACCAAAGCAGGAATGTGAACCTGGCTTTGTCGGGCCCCAGAGGCTGGACTCTGGACCAGGAGACAGCCCAGCAGGCACATGGATGCCTCTGGAACACAGCACTGTGCTGAGATGGGCCCAGCCAAGCCCTGGGCCTCCAGGGGAACCTGGCACTCTCTGGACAGCACACAGACTTGGATCCACACTGCAGACTCAGACAGGGAGCAAGGCCGGTCTGCTCTGCCCACTACGGCCGCCTATTGCAGTAATGGCTACCTGCTGCCGCTCCACTGGCCGCCTATTGACTGCTGCCTTCTGCCCCACAAAGGCCTGGAGGGGAAGCAGTATGAGGATCCTGAAGCCAGCGAGCAAGAGCCAGCTGCCCCCATGCTCAAGGTCAGGGATGACACCAAGTCCAAAGGCTGCCCTCGCCACTGGAGGCAGGGCGGCCACGTGGCCACTCTGGGGTCAGAGTGTGCGGTTCAGTGCCCAAGCCAGCACTGGCGGCTACATGAATTCCGGCAAGGACTTTACCTCCCTGACCCATGGCTCCTTCACCCATGAACCAGGGATATCGGTACCCACCTCCTCCAGCCATGGGAGCTTTGACGTGTGAGGCCTGTGTGATGCCCGCCTTGGTCCCTGGCACCCAGGGCACTTTTAGGTTTGGAGAACCCAGCATCGAGAAAGGGCCCCACCACCGGCCTGGCCTCGCGCAGGCAGCAGGGAGGTACCCACACAGGGCTGAGCCCCACTTCCAGGCCGAAGAGATGGGCACACACCTGGCCTTGCCCACACTTACCCAGGGTAGGGCAGGCTTTGAACTGGCCTGGGAGAACAGGTCAGCCAGTGCTGCCCCAGGCCCACTGAGTGACACTGGGGTGAGGCTCTTCCCTCTTCCGGGGCTCTGTCTCCTCATCCACACAGTGGCCCGGCCCCTTCCAGCCCTGAGATTCTGGGTCTCTCAGCTATCTACCTAGTGCCCGGGACCCTGGGTCATGCAGACAGGAAGTGGCTGGCACCCCCAAACCTCTGGCCACCTCCATGGCCTGTCCCACAGCAAATGCTACCTTATAACTTCCTGCAGATGCTCTCAGCGACTCTGGCCTCACCATTCTCCAAAGCCCCGAGTGGCTCTCTCTGCCCTTGGGATAAGTCCCCCTCAGCCCAGCTCATCACGCTCTGCTTCCCTCCCACCCTCTGCTCCAGTTCCAGGGACTACATTCTAGTTCCCTGAATACACCGGACTCTGCCCTACTTCCGGACTCTTGCACACGGTTTCCCGCACCTGGGAGGCTGTCTGGGTTAACACAACATAAATTAAGCACCCACCACAGTGGCAAAAAAAAAAAAAAAGACACTTTCCTGCCATTGCAGAGCTCTCAGAATCTGTAACCAGGGCGTCGTTTATGACACCACTCATTAGTGGAGACATTTGTCCAGTATCTTTCTCTTTCTCTAGAAAGCAGGCATCATGAGTGCAGGAGTGGGATCTCTACACCTCACCTGACCCCCAAATCCAGCACAGCACTCGACACTTAACTGGGCTCTAAAATGATGTTAGAGCTTCCCTGGTGGTTCAACGGTAAGGAATCTGCCTGCCAATGCAGTGCCGGGAGCCAGCACAGGAGATCCCACCCATGACAAGGTCACGAGGAGAAGACCTGACAAGCAAGGCGGATCAGGACTTCATGGATTTCAAAAAGCTGCCCCGGCGCTCACCTTAAAGATGATCTCTGTCTTTCTGATGCTTGCTATACTAGACTACTCCCTAATTTCTGTGACACGGGTAGGCCTTCCCCGATCTCTCTCCAAACAGAATCAACTTAGAACTTTAATTAACATGTCCGGCGGTATCCTATAAGATTATCCAGGATGAAAGGAGTGTTTCATTTTAGACCCCTTTGTTGGCATTCTAGCCTGCTTGGCAAATGCGTACTAATGCACATGACTGCTCACAACACCTTAATCATAAACAGCATAAAGAACCTGATCACACAAAAGGCCCTAATAGGCACAGAGCCCTTCGGGGGGTGAGGAAGCCCTATTAGAGAACACAAAAATATTATTCTAAAAGTGGTTAGAGTTAAAGATTTAGAAAAATAAGAGTTCAGAATTGTTAATTTTAACCAGGAATGCTAAACAGGGGCTGCCTCACCGGAGCTGCAGAGTCATTGTGTTGTAAACCTTTTAGATAAATTTAACTGATAACTTCTGCAAAAGGGCTGATCTTTGTGTTCATTAAAGAATAGATTACAGGAAAACAGCTTTGCATTCACCTAGGTCATAAAATGTCAATAGGCCCCAAGGCCAGAAGATAATGTACAAGACTCTCACAAAGAAGTATGCAGAAAACACCCTGGTTTCGTGAAGGATAAGCTGATGTAATATTAAACTATCTTCCCCTTAAAAAATGTACTAACTTAGAATATAAAAGCTACAGTAAAAAATAAAGATTTGCCAGACTCTGCTGCACCCCCTGTCTGGTCATTCTCTCTCTCTCTTTCTCTCTCCCTCACAGACTTGGCCCCATCAAGGCTGGTGTCACGTGTCTTCTCTCACCGACGCCGTTCATCCTGAGGGTACCCCCTAGATCCTGCCGAGGCTGGACCCCGGCAAGTGGCGCCACGAACAGGGAACCCGAAGGTAACCCCCCCCATTGTTCAGTCTTCGGGACGGCTAGGACCCCACTAGGGCGCCGTGGGCCCCCCTGCATAAGATAGGTAGGGTGAGGAAAGTGGGCAGGCTTCAGGTTTCTTCTTTAGGACCCCACTAGGGCGCTACAGGCCCCGATGCATAAGAAAGGTAGGGTAAGGAAGGTGGGTAGGTTTAAGGTTCCTTCTTTTCTAAGATTAAGATCCTCTCCTTTTTTTTCTTCTAATTAGTATCAAAAATGGGTAACAGTGAGTTAAAGGAAAGACAGCTTTTTATTGGGGTTATATTGCAGCTATTAAATAAAAGAAGTACTAAAGTAAAAAAGGCTAGTGTTCAATCTTTTTTCACATTTGTACAGGAGCAATGTCCTTATTTTCCAGAAGAGAGCAGTTCTCCTGGGTTCCCTTACCCTCCTGCTCTCCACCAGGGTGCCCTTTCCAATGAGATCTCTTGCTTTGTCAGCACATGTGTCTCCTCGGACAGTTCATTTATAAGAGCCCAGTTACTGGCCCTGGAAGGGGTCCCCCTTCCTGCAACTGGCGGGGACTCTTCTTCGCTGAAACTGACATCCTGACCACTCGGGGTACTCAGACGCCAGCTTGCCTGCCAGTGGACCAGACCCAGCGGCCGCAACTGGGACCCTTTTGTCCCTGGTCTCTTCCTGACGCAGACAACTGGCCAGAGTGCCCCGACTAGTAAGGAACAAGAGACTTTATTGACCTCTCTCCCGTTCCCTCTCTCTTTCCTCTCCTTAGTCCTTCCTATCCTTCCGTTTTTCTAGTACCCCCCCCCCCCACCCCGGTCTGGTCATTCTCTCTCTCTCTCCCTCGCAGACTTGGCCCCATCAAGGCTGGTCTCACGTGTGTTCTCTCGCCGACGCCGTTCATCCTGAGGGTACCCCCTAGATCCTGCCGAGGCCGGACCCCGGCATGAGGCTGGACCCAGAGACATGGGTTCGATCTCTGGGTTGGGAAGATCCCCTGAAGGAGGAAATGACAACCCACTCCAGTATTCTTGCCTGGATAATTCCAAGGACAGAGGAGCCTGGCGGGCTATAGTCCATGGGGTCGCCAAGAGTCAGACACAACTTAGCGACTAAACAAAAACAAAATGATGTAAATGAATGGAGGAAGGAAACAAGAGTCAGTGTGATGAGGGGTGTGAAGGAGAAGTGCAGGGGGGTCACAGAAGAATTAGCAGGGGACTAGAAGACCCCCAGAGAAGAGGCCCTCAGGCTCAGCCAGGTCTCTCCTCTGGTCCCTGAAAAGGGTCCTTCATCACAGCCTGAGTCATGCTGCTCACATCTGTCAGGTTCCTTCCTCTCACTGTGAGCACCCAGAAAAGCTACTCTCTGCCCAGGGAGGGGAAATCATGAAGGTGCTGAGACCTTAAGGCAAGACTCTTCCCTTTTCCAGGCTGCAGTTTCCCTCCTGTATAGTGGATTTTGTCCACTCCCCCCCCCTCTCCGCCCAGTCCAGGAGTTCAGGGACATATCCATCTGTTTACCATTCAAAACACAGGGCGAGCCCAGGGCTGGCATTCAGGAGGCGCTCAGTGGACACCAGCTCAATGAATGACGGGTGAACGGTGGGCAGGCAGGCAGAAGGCAAGCTAGAGCAACAGTAGGGCCACCCCACCCCCCACTAGAACCCAGAACACCTAGGGTCAAAGTTCCCTGGCATCCAGCCCTGGGGCCCTCAGCAGGGCTAGGTTCTCACGTCTCTGCACGAGCAGGCCCTTCCTAGGGCCACCAGGGCTCACTGAGAAGACACCTCCCCCAACCCCAGCCTCACCCAACACCCAACCATCCTACACAGAGATGGAGGCGTGGGCTTGAGAGGGTCCTGGGAAGGCGGGATCACGTTCATTGCAATTATCTCTTGAATATTTACTCTACACCAGGCACTGCACTAAGCATTTCTCATACCTCCTGTTTCTGATTCTCGCACCACCACTAGAAGGGACGCACAGTGATCAGCTCCACTTTGAAAAGGCACAGAGGGGTGAAGTCACTTGCCACGGCTTAACTCTGACCCCAAGGCCCAAGTTCTGCAGCACTCTACTAAATCGCCTCCGGAACAGGTCACTCCAAGACCTGCGAGGAGGAAAGCCCTGAGCTTCTAGAGCTGGGTCCGACGGGAAGCTCCAGGGGCTGTCTGCCCCCACCCGCCCCCCAGGTCCCCTGAGTTGTGGAGCAGTGCTCTGCCCAGGGCGTGACATCAGAAGTACCCCAACAACGACGAGCTGCCTGGCCTCGATTTGCACACTCCCAGCAATGGGGAGCTCTTTCTTACGGCTGCCCAATAGCACTGTTTGCAGAAAGCAGGCACTCCCTATGCGCCGGGAAGAAAGTTCAGCCTCTCCGGCTCCGAGAAGGGCAGGGAAGAAAGGCCCTGGTCCAGGCCAGTTATCCTTTCCCACCTCACCCAGACCACCGCCCCATCACAGCCCACCGGCGCCCCGGGACCCAGGGGAGCTCCCCGGACGCGCAGCCGCAGAATGCGCGAGAGACGCTCACAATTTCTCCCAGCTCATCGCCACACCACTGCGCCTGCGCGGCGCGCGCGCCGGCCGAACCCCTCCATGGCTCACTATTTGACAGTTCCTACCCGGGTGCCCCGGCGCCCCCTTCGCGGGCTTGCGCCTGCCAAAGCACCAGGCACTGACAGGCCGGCCTCGGGAAGTCATCCTCGGAGCCAGAGTTGCCTTTTACCTGCAGGATATTCGACGTGGGTGAGGGTCACCGGCCGCCATGAAGCAGGGAGCGAGCACTGTCCGTCCGCTGCCATCTTACCCGGAGACCGGGTTTCGCACAGCAGCCAATGGGGAGCCAGGGGGGCGGTGGTCCTGACCTATCACGCTGGGGAGCCTCCTCTCACCCAATCGGAGACCGATACAGGTAGCGGCGCAGCCATTCAGCGTGCAGGCCGTGGTGCTGGCCCGAACGGCGAATCAGAACGCAGGGCCCCTAGGAGCCTGTTAGCCGTCCCAGCCAGCGCCCAATCCGGGGCGAGCGCAGGTAAGTGCCTGACCAATCAGAGAAGAGGAGGGTTTCGGCGCTCAACAAGGGGTAGAACAGCCAATCAGAAGGTGAGACCGGCTCGCCGTGTGGGCAGGGCGGGCCAATCAGCCCCTAGCTTGGGGGGCGTGTTGAACTTTTGGTGGGAGCTTTGGTTTTGCGGGGACCTGCTTGCGGAGTGAAGACTTCCTCAGTACTCTGATCACGCCCGGGGTCTGCAGGTGCCTGGGCTCCCGTCAGAGTGCGTGCTCGAAGAGGGGAGGCAACCTTGGTGCGTTGGGGTCTGAATTCATCTACTCTTAGTTATGCGAGTAAACAGGCCAGAGATTCAAGGGAAATTTATTTTCCTTTGCCCTTTTTACTGACCGGCAACAAGAAGATCACACAAGACGGACGACCTTTCTATTAAAGGTGGGGGAGGGAAATCCCGGGGCGCACAAGTCAGCCCCCCAAGATGCTTTATGGAACGGAAGCTTCAGTTCAGCTCAGTCGCTCAGTCGTGTCCGACTCTTTGCGACCCCATGAATCGCAGCACACCAGGCCTCCCTGTCTGTCACCAACTCCCGGAGTTCACTCAAACTCATGCCCATCGAGTTGGTGATGCCATCCAGCCATCTCATCCTCTGTCGTCCCCTTCTCCTCCTGCCCCCAATCCCTCCCAGCATCAGGGTCTTTTCCAATGAGTCAACTCTTCGCATGAGGTGGCCAAAGTACTGGAGTTTCAGCTTCAGCATCAGTCCTTCCAATGAACACCCAGGACTGATCTCCTTCAGGATGGACTGGTTGGATCTCCTTGCAGTCCAAGGGACTCTCAAGTTAATGCTGAATGGATGCGTAATTGAAATTAAGAGACTCTGTCCCTCATTTCATTTGGTTAACACTGATTTAGTCACATTTATGCTGCTTAATGAGGCATCTTGGAAGCAAATACCTATACTTCAGTTTTCGCAAAACATTCCTCTCAGTGTCCTATATAGGGTTGCATGCATTAACCAGCCCTCACCACCCACCTCTCCCTCTCCTGCCCTCACTATCTCTCCGGCTAGATCGCAGTGCTTACCGTCTCGATAAGGTGCCGGCTCCTCTTGTCCACTACCCTTTGCATATGCTGTTCCCTCTGCCTGGAATGCATCACCTCTGCCCTCCTCTGCCTGGCCAAGTCTGGTGCAGGTGTCTGATCTCACTTAGAGGTTTCCATGGCCAGGAAAGGGGCTTTCACTGGGCTCCCGCTGTTGCATCCCCTCTCCTACCCCAACACTGACCACTGCTGGACTGTAATTGAATAGAATTTGTATCCTGCTGGTGTGTGAAAATAGTATAAATCTTAATTATGTTGATTTGGTTGATAGTGCTTTTCAGGTCTACTATATCCTTCTACTTTTCTGTCTATTCATTCTGTTAATTTTTGAGAGTTTGATACTGAAACTCAAACTAAAAACCTATCTACTTAAAAATAATTGCAATATATAGTGGAACTATATGTAACTTTGTTCTATATTTCCCAAGTCTCCTGTAAATGTGTTATCATACTTCGATAATTTAAAAAAAACAAAAAGAAAAAATATATATGTAATATATATGAAGCAGGAAACTGTGATACATAACTTAAGGAAAAATTGACCAATAAAACTGATCCAGGAAGGTCGTGAGGAAGCAGCGCACAGTTTGCAGCTGTCATTTCTTCCGCCTTCAGTCTGTTGATCTTTTGTAGAGCTTCCAACAGCACTATGTTGGGACAGAGCATCCGGAGGTTCACAACCTCTGTGGTTCATCGGAGCCACTACGAGGAGGGTCCTGGGAAGACTATACCATTTTCAGTGGAAAACAAGTGGAGGTTACTAGCTATGATGACTTTGTTCTTTGGGTCTGGATTTGCTGCACCTTTCTTTATAGTAAGACACCAACTGCTTAAAAAGTAATCCATGAGACAGATAGGAATAGGAATATATTAAGAAGTGCAATGTCTTAAAAGGATCAAACCCTTGAACTCAGCATCCTAGATATGTTTGTAAATAAACTTAGGGCATAAATCCTTAACACCTCTTCTCTGAAATATGGAACATGATAGTTGAACACGTGCTTACATTTTATTTGGGTAATATTGCATTTTTAGTTTCTTAATTAAATATGTATTTGATTTTTTAAAAAATAAAACTGATCCAGGGGGAAAAAAATAAAAAGAAAATGGCGCCTAGATTGATCCAGTAGATCTGAGTTATAACCTTGGAGTCTACATTCTTGTTCCCTGGGATTCTGATATAACTGGTTGCACCCATAGTTGGCGAAGACCTGGGCAACGTGAAGTTAGGGCTTGTTATGTATTGGAGCCTGGCCCAGGCTGATGCTAGAACACGTGCCTGATAGACTACCTAATTACTTGTCCGGAGAAATAAGAATACAGCGGAGTGGCTCCCTGACCAGAGTGGCTCACTCTGAGAACCAGCCAGGCAGCTCGAGTCCACACCATGGACGGGGCTGGAAGGACTAGGGAGATGATGGTGACTTGGAACCAACCAGTGAGCCAGGACGTCCCCCGGGACTCCTCAGCTGGACTCAGCGCCCCATCCGACCCAGCCTGGGCTTGTCTGGGTCAGCGGGCCCCACTTCCCTGCCACTTGCCCTCAGCTGCTTCAGGCAGGCGCTGCCTCTGTTAGCTTCTGAGAGGCAAGAGGTGTGAGCTGTGAGTTTCCCAGAATAGTTCCCTGGGACCGGGCTGCCTGGTCTGGCTACTTTGCCCCTCCCTGGTTAGAAGGCATTTCATGGGGGAGAAGCCAAGTCACTGAAAGCCAGGATCTTCTCACCTCAGAGAGAGTGTTGAGGAGGAAGCGGCCAGAGTGAGGAACTATACAATGAGAGGGAGTTAGCTGGGGTGGGGTTTTCCTGGGGGAGGGAACAGCACAATGAAATTGGCAAGGGACAGGTGAGGGGCAGGCAGAGAGGGACCCGGCAGGGGACCGGCCTCCCAAAATGTTGAGGGCCACTCTTGGTGACCACGGAGGGGACCTTGAAAGATGACCGTTGTTTGGTTTTGCCTTTGGGAAAGAAAAAAAGCAAAAAGCATACCTTTCGTACGGGAAAACCCAGAAGTCGAAGGTGTATAGCTTGATGATGTTTTGCAAACTAAGTACTCCTGTGTTAGCAGCCCCCTAGATGGAGAACCAGAGCTCCAGGAGCTCCTGACGCCCCATCTAGTCAACCCCGGTGACCACCGACCCCATGCCAGCCCCATACGTTAAGTCCGGCTGCTTTGGGTGCTTTTCTGTAAGCTGCCTCCTCCAGTGTGTGCTTTGGGGGCGTGGCTCCTTTCCCCAGCATTGTTTGTGAGATCCGTGATGAAACCTCTGGCTGTAGTTCACTCATGCTTGCTGTGTAGATCTCCACGTTGTGAACGCACCATGGTTGACTTTCCATTCGAGTCTTGCTGGACTTTGGGGTGTTTCCAGATCTAGGAGGTTAGGAACGGTGTTTCTAGGAACAGCCTCCTGCATGTCTTTTGTGTACCAAGGGTTGCTCTTCCAACGGAGATGTGCCTAGGAGCCAGGGCAGGGTCCCATGAGATGACAGGTCAGACCTGCTATGTGGATGAGGAGCTGGGTGATGCAGGCATGAATGCTGTGAGGAGAGCCCTGGGAGGCTGCAGGAGCCACCTGCCCCCTCCCTGAGCTGAGAGGTGGCCCAGCGATGCCCCTGGTATCTCTGTGCATCCTCGGAGTTTCTCCATCGTTAGTCACTGGTGTTACCTCCACTGCAGCCTTCGAGGCAGCTCTTCATTATGCTCAGCTTATAGCTGAGGACAGTAAGGGTCTGAGTGTCCCACCGCTTGCCAGGTCACCCAGCTAATGTGTCACAGAGCCAGGATTTCAATCCTGTTCCGGTGGATGGGCAGGCCCAGGTTCTGAGCTACCCTGCATCCTGTCAACTGAACTGCAGGCTGCCTCCTCCCACGGCCCACAGGAGTCCTCAGACCAGCCCCAGCAGTCCCAAGCAGAGCTGGCCTTTCACTTTGGCCTCTCCTCTAGAAGGAAGTTCACCGACAGGGCAGCCCCCAGATTAGAGGTGCAAAATCTAACCCTGTGCACCGCACCCTAGCCACCCTGGCATGCGCTCAAAGTCCCTAGGGAAAAACTCTTCTCCCCCCCGCCCAGGCCTGTTTCTCTGAAATGTGTCAGCTGTAGCCCTCTAGATTAGAAGTTCGTTCATGCATTTCAAGGACTGTTCAAGCTCCTAGGCGGTTGCCAGACCATGTCTCGGCGTCAGGGGTGAAGAAAAGGATAAAGCGTAAGAAGGGCGACACCCTGGAGAAACTGTTATTCCCGTGGAGGCTGTGAGACTGCGAGACTGCTGGCTCTTGAAAATGCAAAGAAGAAAGACAAATGGACTCAAAGTAGAAGTGACAGTTTTGGCTTCAAAACCTCTGAGAGGAGCCACTCATTGTGTATTAGAGGCTTCTAGAAGTCAGAGCTTGGTATTCCAGATACCATGGAGGCAAGACCTCAAGACACATTGTCTGGGACTTCCCTGATGGTCCAGTGGCTAAGACTCTGCACTCCCAATGCAAGGATCCCTGGTCAGGGAACTAGATCCCACATACAGCAACCCAGGGTTACACAACTAAAGATGCCGCAACTAAGACCTGGCGCAGCTGTATAAATAAATATAAATATTGAAAAATAAGTAAAACTGTCAATTCAAAAATGTTTTTTAAAAAAGTTAAAGTCACTCAGTTGTGTCTGACTCTTTGTGACCCCATGGACTATACAGTCCATGGGA